GCTCTGAGGTCTCCACACAGCCTTCTCTTCTCCAGGCTGAACAGCCCCAACTCTCTCAGCCTGTCTCCATATGGGAGGTGCTCCAGCCCTGCTCATCCTCGTGGCCTCCTCTGGACTTGTTCCAACAGTTCCATGTCCTTTTTATGTTGAGGACACCAGAACTGCACACAATGCTCCAGGTGAGGTCTCACGATAGCCGAGCAGAGGGGCAGGATCACCTCCTTCGACCTGCTGGTCACGCTCCTTTGGATGCAGCCCAGGATACAGTTGGCTTTCTGGGCTGCGAGTGCACAAAGTAAGTGGTATGGCACTGAATGTTGTCTTCAGAAATCAAGGGAAGACAGCCCTAGATGCATATTATTAACAAGCAGTAGGAAGCAAGAGAGAGCAACTTTCTGGTGGGGCAAACACCATGGGGAGGTCTCAAATTAGCGTTCAGTTCTCTACAGAAGGGATAAAGGCAGGAGAAGGGATTGCCCATGACGATAACACTGCAATGCCAACAACCATACTAAGCACATACTAATTCAACTAAAGGACCAGTGGTCCTTACGCTTCCAGGTAACAGCTACATCTTGATGATACAGTCACAGATTTCTATCAATAAAAGTTTCAGGCAGAAGCTTTAAACCCAAGGCCTTGTGTCAGGAGCTTTTATTAAAATGCTATGCAAAATGTATGCAAAGCTTATCCTATTATCTCAAACAGATCTCAAAAGTACTTTTACTTTCATAAAATGAATTGCTGAAGTGCAAAGGCTTCCCAAGCCATGGAAATAATGGCACCAGGCCCTCCTCTAAATATTTATATAACATGATTGCAGCCATTTTGCAGACTCCTTCATAAAGGTGTTAAAACATTAAGAGCTGATCCTAATTCTTGGAGTGAATGTCTAACTATTATGAAAATTTCCCTTTTCAGTAAAACCCAGAGACCTTTTTCTTTGCTTTATTCCTACTATAAAAATCATTTAAAGCCCATTTAATCTGGGTCACCCAAGTGCAGGAAAGATCTTCAGGATCATGTTTGTTAACATACATCTTCTCTTGACTGGGCTTACAGCTCCCTGAAGCAGGATTCTCCCTTAGGGTTTCTACAGCCCCTGAATCTTACAGTTTAATCATACCAGAAGGTTTTCTCCCCTCTGCTTTCCTGTGGCCTGCCTTGCTTATGGGCTCTGTGACTGCTGTGACATCTAAGGGTGGCATTTTGTAGTGAGCTTATCACTGCCTGACTTAGTTGGCACTGCCATTAACACAGAAATATAAGAAATAGCTAAAACAGCAGAAAATCATTCATTTAAAATCCTGTAAAACTAAAGCCATTCAAACACTCTGAAATAGATTACAGAAAGTCTACACTTTTTTTTCTAATTTTGCAACCAGTTCTTCAAGTTTTGCAGCCCAAAATCATATACCAGAGGCTGGATGTTGTTTGCTATTACAGAGTAGTGCCAGGCCCAGATGAAAACCATACCTAAAGTGAAACTCCATTGAGTTTCCCTATAGAAAACACAAATCCTTCGAAAGCACAGGCTTATTGCTTATCTCACTCTTTTAAACGCTGTAAGTGTTTAATAAGGTTATCAGGTTTTATGTATCTCGGTCTACCATTCAAAGTAGAAAGTACCAGACCTTTCAGAGTTGAAGCGTTAAGAACCCTAACAACTCCACCCAAAGGTACAATGTAAGTGCTGTAAATGCTGTTCAGATGCTGCACATGCCTTTTGTTTTTAACTCATCTGAACAGCTCTTCATACATTCCCTGTGCTTCATACATTACCAAGTGCTGCAGGAAAGATGACTCAGCGCAAACACTCCAGGATGACCACTGTCCTGTGAATAACCCTAACTGTTCTAACACTTTTCCTAATGGATTTTTAGTAGGATGTGTAAACAGTGATTTGATGAGTTTCTTTAGAAACCAATCTGAAAAAAAAAGCATATTTTAATAAGGCATGAAAGCCTTCCACTGAACAGCTTCTCATGGACATCCCTTGCGGAAGCAGTCAACGTTGTCAAAGGCAGATCTCTAGAATAAAGCCCTATGCCATGCAGATACAAGAATTAATCATGATAAACACTCGTTATCACAATAAAATTAAGAATTAATACAATGGTTACCAGACTTTTGCACGTGGAGTTAAAATAAAGGGCTGATTAAAAGGCAGGGACAAAAGGAGTAAACTGCGTTTCATCTTAGCAGAAGCCCCTGTTTAATTCTGTGTCTCTATGCAGGCTGAGCTTCCGAACTGCATCACTAGAATACTTTTGCTTTGTTCCATTTGATAACACACCTACCCACCTCATCTCAATACTGCTGAGAAGCAGCTGATTTAGGAATAGAGCAGACTCCTCACGGGCCAAAATCAATGTAACACTTAGCCACTGAACAAGCAGCATCAACCATAATAAACCTGAATCTGAACTCCCAACACAGAATAACACAGGTAAGTAAGCTCACAACTTTCAGCCTGTGAGAAACTCAAGCACAGTCACTGGTGGCTGTGGGCTGCTGTATCTCTAAGCATCAAAAGATGAAGAAGAAAACCATGCACAGTCCTAACTCCTTCTCATTCCTCTACACAAAACAACTTTGCTCCCGCTGCTCAAGAAATCTCAGCACTTCACTCACCTCTTGGCACTTACTCACATCCTGAGTGTGTTCAACCAGCCAGTCTCCAATGATTGACCTGTGCTACTTTAGAAATGAAGGGGCTACCACGATTTCATCATTGCACCAAACAGTCAGTGCAAAATAAAATGATAGCAAATGGATGCACAGGCACTATAATGAACAGCCCGTAACCAAACTCCTTGCTTGCCTATACCTTTCCAGGCTCAAACAAGACATTAAGCAAATTATTCTTCTCTACCATTTGTTCTGCTGACAGAGAGCAGATCCAGGCTAGGCTCAGCTACCTGTGGCTTTACAAGAGTCATCAACAGAGAGCCTGACAGGCATTTACTTGGCAAGAGCCATTCTTCCTGCATCCTATGTGTGCACATTTCTGATCTGATCTAATTCAGGCTGCAGAGAATTGAACAGAGCCAGGTGAGCACTGCAGTATCTGAACGTGCCTGCACTTATCTCAGGCCTCTTCATCCATCTTCAGTCTGTCCTGAAAGGCAAAAGGACTGTCCAGCTAAACCAGCTGAAGAGCTGCTTGACAACAACTTGCAAATGAACTGAGGCAAAGCCTGCTCAATCCCTGGCAGCCCCATGCACCAGGGCACAGAGCCGTCCTTGACCTCCCGTTCCCTCTTTGCATAGTGCAGCCAGAGCTGGGATCTTGGGCCAGAACCCTCAAAACTCTCAGTGCTCAGGGATTTCTGGATCAGCACTTTGCTGCTTGGCTCAAGTGTTTTAGAGTTATGCTTGAGAGGCAATCCCTGATTGGTCACAGCCTTTATGATGCTGTGATTTCACAAACATCCGAAATAGAGCAGGAAAAGGAAAAACTTACTTATCCCTTTGCCTTCACAAGTTTATCCCCTACACGACAATTCTTGGTACTTGGCCTCAGCAGCATACAAGGCCCTTCAAAACTGTCTGCTGCAGTGGAAACATCGCAAGATGAGAAATTACTGCATTGTTTATTTTATGGGGCTGAGCTGAACCTTTGGGTTATGAAAATGCAGTGCTGCTCCCTGGTATAGAATAGTGACTAACGCTTGTATTGAAGGACAGTTCCCACATTTGCTTCCACTCTATGCCAGAAGATTGCCTTTGAATGAAGCTCCATCCTCCCCAGTGCAGGGCTCGATGCGCAACACTCTCCTGCTGTTTTTCCATGCTTTGTGCAGAGACTTTGCAAAGTCTGATATTAAGCAACCTGGTACAAAATATTCTCCATCAATAACTGGAGATCTAAAGAAGTTTCACATTATTTAGTTATGGGTGGGGAGTTACCTGTGTATTATCAACCCTTTGAGACGCAGTTTAACAACTTCAATTATTTTCCTCTTGATGCTTGCCTATCACATGTGCATATGTACATCAACGAGGCCAGGGGAAGAATTACTAACTATAAAAGAATCTAGCAAAACCCTGAAAACTCTCCAAAGTACAGACTATATTATGCAGGGATTGATTTGGGTTTTTTGGATTGCTATGAGCGATTCCAAAAAGAAAAATACTTCTCATTCATACTGCAATACTGCTTGAAGAACGTACGTGCCTCCTTGCAGAGGCATGGACTGCAGAACAGAACATTTACTACAGATTACTTGTGGGCTTGCTTTATGTAGTGTGAATCTTAAACAGTAAGAAGAATGGTAAGGTGAGAAATGTGAGGTATTATTTATCTCCCCCACCTCTGCAAAGCAGCTCTTAAAAAGTAAGTTTTATATGGTGTAAATTACTGCACAAACCTTAACATAGTAGAATCACATCCAGGCAATCTCTGGACCTAATTCCCTCTTTCTCACTTAATCTGAACTACATGACAAGTAAATCCACTGCAGCACAATGAGTTACATCAGAAAATGGCACAAGATGCGAATCAAGCTGTGTGAATCATCTGGGAATATTCTGCCCTTCCACAGCTTATCAAGGAGCTGCACAACCTGAAATACAGCATACAGTGCTCCTAAGTATGGTAAATCCTTTTATGCTCCCAAGGCATCATACAACACAAACAAGAAGCAATTTAGGCCCTTATCAAGATTATGACCCAAAATTAATCTATTAAAAAGCATTGTGTGAAAACCACTATGCCATCAATAACATTTTATAACAGAAGGTCTGGCAGATGGAAAAGTTCAGAACCACCTTAATCAGCAACATGCCCGTCTCTCGGTTTTATCTTCCCAGATATCAACCTGCACTCGAGAGGGGTTACATTCGTTCAAACACACACAGTTTAATGATCAACCCATTGGTTTGCCTCCTCTGAAATGAAGAGGTGTATAAATAGATCAAATTCTTCAACCCAGAACAGTCGCACAGCAAAAACTCTTAGCAGGAAAAGTCTCTGCATCCTGAACAACCAAAGAGTACCAGGAGGAAAAAAGATGAACATCATTCTAGTCTTTCTATTCATTGCCCCACTTGCTCTTTCAGCTGGAGCTGAAAAAGATTCTTCCTCCTTTGATCCTGCTTTATCTCCCGAGACAAGATCAAGATTTGCCATGTTAGACGATGTTCGAATCTTAGCCAATGGACTCCTCGAGCTTGGGCACGGTCTTAAAGACTTTGTCCATAAGACAAAGGGGCAGATGAATGACATCTTTGAAAAACTTTACATTTTTGATAGGTCCTTTTATGAGCTCTCACTGCAAACAAGCGAAATCAAAGAAGAAGAAGAACAGCTCAGACAAACTACGGCCAGGCTGCAAATCAACAATGAAGAGATAAAGAATCTCTCCCAGGAGATGAATTCGAAGATTGAAGACCTCATACAAAACAAAATCCAGCTGCAAGAGAAAGTATGGGGACTGGAAGACAAAGTCACCAAACTGGCCATCACCCAGCCTTCAATGGAAGAGACAAAGGAAATTTCCTCACTCAAAGTAAGTAGAGTTGCGAAAGCCCCTGACACCCAAAGCCAAAGTAAACTGTAATGCTATTAGTGGGAGTTACGCAATAGAAGCTCATGTTTTATCTTCCTCTTCACTGTAGTACTACTGTGTATTTTGAGAAATAAATCACTGCAATAGTCTTATAAGAATCAGTGTCTTCATCTGACATATTATTTTGCAGTAAAACTCCCCAGTGAGAAACCTGTGAAATAACAGGTCTATCTTTTCCGTTATTTGTTTGCTTTAAAAGAAATTACTTTAAAGAAAAAAGTCAGAAGGAATTCTGTAGATTTAAAAGAAATTTAAAGAAATTCTTAAAGAAATTTAAAGAAATTCTTAGATAATAACGGTAAATAATTTTTGCAATCAGGAAAATGATGTGATTTCCAAGCCCACAGGTTTGTGTGTCATCACTTCATTGCAAATCAATGCACTAGGAACTGTCTGCTTAGTATAAAAGCAGGAAGTTTAAACCTTTAAAGAGGGACATCTATAGTACCTTTATGACCTCCAGAACAAAGAACCTTGCAACTGTTAGCACGCTTAATGTCAATAGATGCAAGTATTTAGGGGGGTATAAGGCTTCCTATGGAAAAGGAAGTATTAACTGCATTTTGCAGAAGTATAAAAGGCTAAGCAACTTGTGTGAGAAAATACTGGATGTTTGTGTCAAAGCAGAAGGATGAATCCAGATCTCCCAAATCCCAAGCTAATACCTTAAATGCTGGGAACTGTTCCCTTTTTTGATCAGTGGCATAGATCTAGTTTGAATCAAGGGCCAACTTCATAGAACAAAATTGGTTTGGACATGAAAATTGAAGGAAAAAAGCAACAACAATGAAGTTCTACAAAGCTGCCAGCAGTTTGTCTCAAAAAATGGGTCTCTGCTTCAGAGACGAAGTACATCCCTTAAGGGGCAAAGCAAGCAACCCCTTTGGAAAAAGAAAGGCAATGATAAATGGTTTGTGCCTCTCAAAACTGGCCCCATGACAAGAGTTATGGAGGCAGCAGCACTGTGAATGTCTTCTGCTGCTTCTAACCACTACCTTCCTCCTGTCCTCAGGCTTTTGTGGAGCAGCAGGACAACGACATCAAGCAGCTTCTCAAAGTTGTAGAGGACCAGCACATAGAACTCGACAGACAGCACAACCAAATACTGGAGCTGGAGGACAAGGTACCAGAATCATCTCTATTTCTCTTTCCAGAACTTGTCATCTCTCATAACACTGAAGGAGTCAATGGCCTGACCATTCGTTCTGGTCAGCCATCCCTCTTGTTCACAGCTCGGCGGTGTAGAGGAGGGTATAAGCAATTTTGACCACACACAGGTACCTTTTTGGGTGAGAGACCGCTGTGCTGCCAAGCCTGGGGCTATGGCCAGGGCACATGATGACCAAGAACACAGCTCTGAAATACTCTCTAGCAACAGTGTTTTCTGACTACTTCTTTTTTATCTACCATATCACTGTTTTCCCATTGGTCTTCTACATCTTTCTTCTTTACCGATATTCACTCCAATAGAGAGCCAGGCTCTGCAGTCCAACATGTGTCACCATAACGCTGGGTACAACTGACATGCTCATATTTAATTTATTCCTAAGAGGAGGCTATAAAAGGAAAATGCATTTCAGCCTCAGGAACTCTGGGTTCTGTGCTCTTTAGATGTTGGTATTATTTGTCTAAGTGGTGTCACCTGAGGAAATAAGTTAAACCTGTTTGCCCATTAAGGGGCATCTCGTGAGGACGGTTCATTTACTTGCCTCATGAATCCTACCTTGTTTGAGCAGTGACATCCGTGTGGCTGAAATCCACCAGTGTGGTCCTCAAGTTATTTTTATGTTGTAAATTGGGTGTTCTGAAGGATTACATTCACAAGGAAAATGATTCTCTGCAGGACATTGTTTGGCTTGATACATGAATCTCATCATTTCCGAGCCTTGGGAAATTAACAACCTGTAATTATGGTTCTTTCAGCTAAACCACATTGAGCTCCAGGAACATGCAGAGAACTCCTTGGTGGAGGAGCTCACAGAATCAGAGGACACCCCTGTCCCTGTGCGCAACGCCACGGCTGTAACATATGGATCTGATGGTGAGACCTTCTCTCTTAGACGTGATGATGCAACACACTGTAATTACAGCATGCTCTGTGAACATCTTGTGTTGGGTTTTAATAGTCAAAGACTAAAAGCAAAAGACTTCAGTTACATACAGTGCTCTGGGAAGGTGCTAGAGTTCCTGCTTTGGGAAAAATGCCATCATCTGCTTAGCCCCAGTATACATGTACATCTCTGGGGTGACAAGGAATAACATCCAGTAATGCAGTAATCCTGTCCTCAATTCTCCTCCTCCTTCACCTCCTGTAAACACATGCTGTGATCATGCTTTTAGAGTCACTTCTGACACTGCCAATGCCTGTCTTGGAGAGCATGAACAGAGAACTAATTTACTTCACAGTGGCTAATTATAAGATTTGGAAGAGCTCTCTTTGAAGTTGAAAGGCATTTTTGAACTGCAGCAATGGGAATGGTTATTTATTGGGAACATTATAAGAGGCAGGAAGGACCATTTGCCAGAGTTTAGTCTTAGTTCTTACAAACTTTCCAGAATTATCTAAATTGAAACCTTGCCTAATGTACATCCAACCTACTACAACTTGGCAGCTGCATCACCAAGCCCAAAGCGGTTTGTCCATTTCATGACATTTACTGTAAAATGAAATTACCAGAAAGATGGTTCAAGTTTTTGCTTTGGCTTTATCCTGTACAGACACTGAAGGTACAAAGCTGGATGAAAACTTCCCACATCCAAACCAAGATTTGTGATTGTCTGCTCTTTGCTTTCCTAGGTACCGCTCCTGACTGCAGTGCACTTTACAACAGCGGCACGCGGTCCAGTGGTGTCTACACTATTAAGCCCAATGGCTCCGAAGCTTTCGATGTCTACTGTGAAATGAAATTTGGTAAGATACCTGTGCTAGAAGTAATCTAATTTTCACCTCTTGTTTATAAAGAGGCAAGGACTTTCAATCATTTGATATAAATTAAGTGTATTTAAAAAACCCAAGCCCCTTCAGCGATTGATAAGGATAACGGCAATTATAAATGCCATTATATCACACCCATGAATACATTTCCAAATCAAAGCAAACAGTAATTAGTAAATACCTTAGTAAAAATTTGTTTCATTAATAAACCTCATTGCTCGAGACTTAAGATTCACCAAACAAAGAGGTGAGCCCTGGAGACAGGATTTCTGTATCACGTCTGAGTGAGTCAGTAGATATGTATCATACATATCCAGAATTGTCATGGACCAGAAGGCACAGCACCAACCCAAGCTCTACCTTTGTAAGAAACCCGTTTCTCTGCTCCTTTTGCCACTACTCAGAGATAACACATCACTTGGCCGGTTCACTGTTTGCTGTTTTTTAAACCCTGCAATGCAGCACCACACAGTGCTGCCCTGTGCGTGTCCTGCCCAGCCTCCCTGCATGGTCCCTTGGCCACGGGTACCTGGAGAGCCTGGGAACACGCTGATGCAACCATGGCAGGGCCATGTGGTTTGTCTGGATGTTTAAACAGAAAGACATGGGATTGCCCTGTGCAAAAAGCTCCTTTGATTACATTTGCTGAAACTGGTAAAACTAGAGTGTAATGACCCGGTTAGGAGAAAGACCCTGCATGGGCACAGCCTCCAACACTTCATACCTTCTGTGGAGTTGCCTTGCTTCAGTGAAGCACTATGAGCAGAGGGAGCCTGGCAATCTGACCAAATGTCTGCAACTTTCCATGTCTCTTTTTTATCATTTTCTCTATGTCTGTGTTTCTCAGCCCTAGCAAACAAATGGAGCCCAGTTAAGACAGCTTAACAAATTAAGTCCAGTGAGCTGAGTTACCATGAGTGTGGCAGAGGACTCCAGAGGGGTTCCAACAACCGCATGTTCTGCTCAGCTGTGCCCACCTGAACTTCTTTCATGAAGATTTAAGCTAACTCATTCTACCTCAAATTTGGAGCACCCAAGAGCACTCATGGACAGTTAATAAGGCCAAAGCGAGGGTGGACAGGGCTTTGAGCAAGCTGCTCTAGTGGAAGGTGTCCCTGCCCACTGCAGGGGGGTTGGAACTGGATGAGCTTTAAGGTCCATTCCAACTCAAACCATTCCAGGATTCTATGATCCTGTGAGTCAAACACCTTCTCTCTGTACAGCCTAAAGGCTGTGTAGCTCAGTACATGTGCACTCATGTCTTTTGCAAAATGAAGAGTAAGTGGGATTCATACAGAGCTACCTTGAGTGCAAACCCATTTTCTTCTTCTCTGGTAGAGAGAGAGCTCACGTAAGTGCAGCCCCAGCAATGCAGTCTGTAGGTCAGCAGCTGACACTCTCAGTTACTTTCCATCTACTCTCTAATGCTTTAAACACTTAAGCCAGGCTTGGGACTTATTTCCCCTTCTTGTTTGCAGGCAGTTCCTGGACTGTCATCCAGAAGAGAGTGGATGGATCACTAGATTTCAACCAAACCTGGGATGCCTACACAAACGGCTTTGGTGACCTCAATGGTAAAAATACCTTTTTTTTGGTGTCTTTTCTTTGCATCAGTTGATTTGAGAAGCTGAATCTTCTTACTGAAATGTGTTCACATGAAAGCAGGCAAAACCAAACACCAAACCTGAGCAGTTTACCTGATTAGAACACCAGAAAATGCTTACCAGAAAATGTAACTCAGTAAAACTCTGAAAGACGCACTTCCAAATGTGTTTAGAAACTTCTGCTGAATCAAAGCCAGAATGCTTTAAATGATATTTTAATTATCAATATTCTACTATTTATAAAAGCACTTCCCAAAGCCTTTAAAACAGAGACAAGTGCAAAACCTCAGCAAGTTGCTGTCACTGCCTGCTCCCAACCTTCTGGCAATCCCGCTTCCCTTTAAAACCACCACACGAACTTTTCCAACCTCAAAAGCACCTAAAGCTGTGTGTGCTCCCCTGGACAAACACCTCCAGTGTCTCTGTGCAGTGGCCAATCCCCTCCATGGCTGGATAGGGTGAGGAAACACCCATGTTTCCCTGTTAATCATCAACTCCGAAGAATCTGGAGCACCAGCTGCTGCCCAACAGCCTCCCTGCCCAGAATATCTTCCCTATTTCTCTCATACAATGAGTCTACTTTTAGTTAGACAACACTCTGACTTTCTAGGCACAGCTAAGATCAAAACCTCACCAATGTGGGCAGCAATATTGACTTACTTCCACCTCTTTTACAGTAAGGAGCTGCTCCATCTCAGCCTTTCCCACATTTTGAGACAGCAGCTCACAACTGAGGGAGACTTTTGCCTGCATAGTTTGATCATACTGAATGCTCCTTGACTGGCCTCCAATGAATTCCCACATACCACACCAACAAGAAGCCACATCTTTTCAGCGTCATCACTCTCAGCTGTGTCCTACTCAGCTCTGTGCTGCATAGTCTGAGATGATAAAATACAACAGGCTGCTCCTAACCTGTTAATTGTGGGAGTATTTTACTCAACCATCTTGTCTTATATTGCTTTAAATGCCACCTGTATGTACAGCACTCGCATTCAGCTACACTAGTTCTACATGTGGCAATTACCCATTGTGCACTGATACCTGCAGCACTGATAATAAGCTACTTAATGAATATAATTTAGGAAACTAATTACACCAATTATCAAAAATTCTAGCAAAAGGAAAATGCTCAAGTTAAATTCACTTCGTACACAAGGGTATCGAAACCTCGGCTCGGTTCTGCAGCTCCTTCCTTAAGACCTACAACAATTACAATTAGGTTTTATGTATGTCATTTCCTTCATTCGTCACACAGTTGCAATTATACATGTTTTAATTGTCTTGAGCTCCCTGCTAGAGTTTCATAAGAGGTGGAAAAGTTAAGAGAGAAGCTCCACTTCATTTATATCTCTTGCCTTTATTGATCACTGGTGTGCAATTAGGGAGAAGTAAACAGAAAGAATGTAGCAGGAGACCTCTGAAAAGATCAACAGTCCCCAAGACTCAAATTATTGATTTAATTAAAGCAATGAATAAATCCCTTTAAATACTACATTTTCACACCTACTACCCACAGGTTACCTGCAAAAACAAATTCAACAGCAGTGTGAGCAATAAGGGGTTCAGGGAAAGTTTAGCACATAACCCCTTCCCTTCTATCTGTCTACGTGGTGACTTCTGTCCCCTCATCCTCCCCTCTGACATCCCTTGATTGACACTCCACAGCTTATCTGAACACATATTTTCATATACTGATATTCTAAAGGTGAATCAGCTCAAGCATGGGTTAGAAATCTGCAAACCGTGGGGCGTTCATGCCTACTCCTGTATTAACAGCATCTATTTACAACTCTGCAGAGGAATTCTGGCTCGGCCTCAACAAGACCTATTCCATCACTAAGCAAGGAGACTACATCTTACGGATTGAGCTGCAGGACTGGAAAGATAATAAACGTTACATCGAGTATGCATTCAGTTTGGGAGGCCCCGAAACGGACTACACCCTCCAGCTTTCACGGATGTTTGGGAGCATCCCCAATGCCCTGCCAGAGCAGACAGAACTGCGGTTCTCAACTGCAGATCATGAAGCAAACACCACAAACGACTTCAACTGCCCAGAAAACTACCTAGGTATCAGTATGCTGGGTATATTAACGTGGGACTTGCTTTGCTGTATGAAGGATGGTTGTGGGTAGAATGCTTTAGTGGGTAGTTACTGATACTAGCCTGGCTTTAAATACAGAAAAGAGAGGGCAGCAGCATCTTTCCATCTTGCAAAAGATGGGTTTTGTTGGCAGACAGCAGGGTCCTACAACGAGGCATCATCTTTCTGTTTTATAGATAGGTAAAACTACAGCACAGTGAGGCTGTGCAAAGGGTCGCCATCAGAAACAGAACTAGCAGCAGCAGTCGAAATAAAACCCCAGGATGAGATTCTAAGCTATGAAGTAAAAACCAGTTCTTCCACTGATACCTGGTCTGGTGTGGCAGCCCTAGGTCAGATAGTTTAATCCCTCCTTGCAATAAAAACAGAAGACAAACTTGACTCATAACTCAATTTTGACTATAACCCAAAAGTTAAGAACGATGGTTAGATGGGGCTTGGAGCAAGTGGAAGGTGTCCCTGCCTCTGGCAGGGGGTTGGAACTGGATGAGCTTTAAGGTCCCTTCCAACTCAAACCATTCTAGGATTCTATGATGAGTTTCCATTCAAAGGCAGTTTTTAGCTTTCTGTCAAGTACACCCAGTATAATCACCCTCAAAAGAGCAACAGAGATGCAAGGCTGAAGATACATCTCCTTAAAGCTAATTTGGTTAAAGGAGTCCTAATTCTTTGATTTTCTGAAGCTTTTATGCTTTGCCAGTTTATAGCAAAAAGCAAACAATTGAAAAAGCAATGAAATGATTAAACCAGAGAATACAGAATTGCCCTCTAGACATCCTCTTCATGCAACAAACATTCTGTACATCATTCTAAGCTTGAAAATTGTTATTGTCTGAAACAATGTCGAGAGCATTACTTGGCTCCAGTGACCATAAAACAGATGGCCAATGACTTCCAAAGTGCTAAACTTTCTTTCTGAGCACAGAGTTGCTGCCAGTCCTTTGCAAGCATAACTGGGCTTATGATTTAAGCTTGTGGTTAAGAACACCAGCCGATAAAAAAGAGAATTTGCTTACTTAAGGCTCTTTTGCTTACTTCAGCCTCTTGTAAAGGAAGAGATTTAACTATTTGTACCTGAGACAAATACCAGCAAATCAGAAAGTCAGTTGTAGAGGGTCACATGAAACATGGAAGTGTGAAGCTAATTTCCTCAATGTCCCAATTCAATGGTAGCATTTGTGTGTGCAGTTTTCTCTGCATCACTACTTCGACGTGAATCAGGCAATAACAGGGAGCACAGCATTTTGTATTGGCCCTCAACTTGCAAGTGTGAGTGTGTAGAGCTACAAGAACCATTTTGTTCAGGTAGACTGGGTAATTGTCCCTTTTGCTGGAAGATTCATGCTGAAACACGAGCTGAGCACAGTATGCCAGAGCACAACTGACACTACAATATTTTTCCTTAGGAGGCTGGTGGCACAGTGAATGTGAGGAAACCAATCTGAATGGGAAATACGTCACACCAAGGTCAAGAGGAAGACTAGACAGAAGGAAAGGCTTGTACTGGAAGCCTAAGAAAGGAAGATACTACTTGCTCAAGTCAACCAAAATAATGATACACCCAACAGATCTAAAGAGTTTTGACTTTACTCAACCCAATGTAATTTAATCCAGAACATACACGCTGAACATTACTACATCAAAGGAGTTCATGTTATGTTTAATAACAGATGCATGTCTAAATCCATACACTGTATGGTGTATTCTCCAATACATAAACCTGAGGCATTTGTGATGGTCTCACAGTAGGTTTGGTGAGTATTCCCATTCACTCGAACCCCAGGGTCAATGTGCTGTAGCTTTCATAGAGCTTCTACCTCCATTGGATGAAACTCTAATGCCTGGGAATCAACCACCTATTCGTGTATTAGATACTATTGCTTGGAGGAATGGGTTTTCAGGCTGCTGCGTTCGTTTCTGGGTTGTGTAGAAGGGAACAAAGTGCTTCAGGAAATGAAGGGATGGCAAAATGCTTTGGAAGACATTTAGATTAAATCGATAGGGAAGAAAAGAAATCTTGTTTCAGAAGGTCTCTAAATTTGATGTTTGGTTCACGTTACTGTGGAATGTTTCCATGAGCAAACGAAAGATGGGCAATTCCCCATTTTAGGGTTCTGTGTATTTCCAGCCAAGTTTTCAGCAGTGTAACTCAGGCCAGTCTTCACTGAAGCACTGTACTGTGCAGCTATAGATGTGTACACACACATCGAGCAATCTTTCAGATACCACACTTTGAAGAACTACTTAACAGCCAAGCTTCAAAGCCTGCTAAAATGAGTAAGAGATCTTTTCTTCTTGTCTGAAACGGAATCAGAGACATCCCTTTCCGATCTTTTAGCACACCTAACTAAGAAATAAAACAAAAGACCAAGTGAGCACACAACAAAACACTTTTCAAATAGAGAACAACTGCCTGTGGGGCAACTCCAATGGAGTCCACGCTATCAACCAACAAACCATGGAGGCACAACCTACGTGACAGTGTTGGACTCCTGCTCCTGGAATACATTCACATTTGTTTAACTTCAGCTGCAGAATACTGTAAAGCAGAAGGACTATTGACATGCTTGTGGATGGATGGCCATGGAACTGTTGACTGACAAAGACCCCAATTCTGCAGTTACATTGAGTCATATTGACTTGTATATCTTACCTAACTTGTATATCTTACCTAACCCTTGTACAGTATGGATTTTTTTACCTCAGTATTTGCAACTATACAGAAAATGGTTTTAAACTGTAATTTAAGAGTGAAACAACTGTGAGTAGAACGTGCCAATTACAGAAAAACCGCAAAACTACTTTTACTGCTCATGGATTTAATACAAAGAAGAGATGACAGAGTGCTGCTTATTTGTACCAGTGTGTTGTAATGTTTAATTACCTGTCAAACCTCTAACAATAAATATACATCAAAGAAATCAAAGGAAATAAATAAATAAAGCTTTTGAAAAGACATGAGATACGGAACCTGACTAAACTCTTTCTTGTAAGCTTTGCTTTTGTCCTGGGTTCAGCAGTAGCAGTTATTTTTTCTCCTTCTTAGTAGCTGGTGCAGTGCTGTGGTTTTGACTTTCGGCCTGGGAACAGCACTGATAACACCGATGCTTTTAGTTACTGCTCAAATGTTTACCCTAACCAAGGACTTTGTGAGTCTCATGCTCTGCCAGGGAGGAGGGGAAGGCGGGAGGAAGCAGAGACAGGACACCTGACCCAAACTGACCAAAGAGGTATTCCATACCACAGCACATCACGCCCAGGAGGTAAATTGAGAGTTACCCAGAAGGGCTGGTTCACTGCTCAGTCGGGCTGGGTATCGACGGGTGGTATTGCATTCTCTTCCCTTGTTATTTCCCTTATCATTATTATTATTGGTGGTAGCAGCAGTGATTTGTGTTATACCTTAGTTACTGCACTGTTCTTATCTCAACCCATGGAGTTACATTCTTTTGGTTCTCCTCCCCGTCCCTCCGGGAGCGGGGTGGGGAGGAAGGGGGGAGCGAGCGAGCGGGCTGCGTGGGTCTGAGTTACTGACTGCATTTAAACCACGACAGCTTTACATAAAACTGGTTTGTATTTATCTAACTTTTACAACAAGAAGTAACAGATTTGGTGCTGCCGAAAAGTTGCCGAAATTACTCAGCTGAAGAAGACAATTCCACCCAGATTGTGTAACATCTTCAAAGCTATTTTGAAAGAGCTTTAAACAAATAGTGGTACACAATGAAATCTGCTTCCTGCCTGGGCTTAGTTATAGAAAAGTTACTGTTTTCCAAGATACTTTAGAAAAATAACAAAATCATACAATCACAGAACAGTTAGGGTTGGAAAGGACCTTAAGATCATCCAGTTCCAACCCCCCTGCCATGGGCAGGGACACCTCACACTAAACCATGTCACCCAAGGCTCTGTCCAACCTGGCCTTGAACACTGCCAGTGATGGAGCATTCACAACCTCCCTGGACAACCCATTCCAGTTCCTCACCACCCTAACAGGAAAGAACTTCTTCCTTATATCCAATCTAAACTTCCCCTGTTTAAGTTTGAACCCGTTACCCCTTGTTCTATCACTACAGTCCCTAATGAAGAGTCCCTCCCCAGCATCCTTATAAGCCCCCTTCAGATAAATTTCTTATCTTCCAGGTCTGCAGAACACTTTTTTTCAAGCATTGTAAAAAAAGAAACTGCTTTTAAGTCAAAAAGGAAATATGAACAAAGGGAATAGGTATCTTCTTCATTTCTATCCTTCTCTTTAAAGAAATAAGTCACTGAAAGTGTCAGAAAGTATTAAAACAGTAAGAGAATGACTTTAGCACACAGCCAAGAAAAAACCTCCATAAAACTGATGAGAATTCAGCTAAATTTCACTGTGAATGTGGGGAAATGGAGAAACCTCTCCCATCTTGGTCACAGCCAAGTTTTAGGCAAATATATTTGTCCCTTCACATCTGTGCACTTTCCTTTGTGTCAATGCAGACCCTTTTTGTGCCTCTGGCACAGCAGAGCAACTGATACAGCCAGTTTTGCAACAAACCTGATGATAAGGAAGGCATTTCCACACTTGCCAGTCTCAGGCCCTGAAATGTGAAGGGTATTTCAAAATCCTGACCTGTATGTGGTGTTTGGAACGTAGACATCCCTGGCAGGGAACTCCAGGATTTCTCTTGTAGGTCTAACTCGGCTGTCTGGGTAAAGTTTGACTTGAAGCAGCTCTGGAGTCAGACAGTAATGAGGATTCTCTGGAGCTGGAGAGATGTCTATCTTTAATTGAGCTGTAAGAAGAAAATGGTTTTATTACAATGAATAGAATTTAGGCCAAAAAGTATTTTCATGGCTTGTTTCTTCAGGTTAATATCCTATATATTATTTTCATAAATAAATAAAATTATACATTACAGCCAATGTGGATTTGTTAAAAACACAGTGAAAAATTATATGTTTAAAGCATTAAAAATAAATGTGAACCAAACTGGTATCCAGGGCAACTGGTATATCAGATAATGAGAACCAACGAAGAGATGGATCTTAACAACTCCCAATTGTTCTCATAGGCAAGTTGGGTCTAGATAATGCTACTGTGAGGCCCAACTGTTGTTAAAAACAATAGAATCACAGAATAGTTTGGGATGGAAAGGACCTTAAGATCATCCAGTTCCAGCCCCCCTGCCATGGGCAGGGATGCCTCACACTAGCCCATGCTGCCCAAGGCTCTGTCCAAACTGGTCTTGAACATTGCCAGGGATGGAGCATTTACCACTTGTCTTGGCACCCTGTGCCAGTGCCTCAGCACCCTCACAGTAAAGAACTTCTTCCTTAGATGTAACCTGAACTTCCCCTGCTTTAGTTTGAACCCATCACCCCTTGTCTCATCAGCACTATTGCCTATCAAACTGCAGGGATACATCAGAAGTTGCTGAAAGCTGATCTGCACTGAGGCTGCTGAGTATTTTCCTTGGCCAGTCAGGTGCCAGCACTGACACCACATTTATTGTTGGTGGATGGCACTGAGGCTGGAATCATTGTAAAAAACTGGAAGCCAGGACAGTAAGAGAAGTGGCATCAGATGACTAAGGTGAAACACAAAGAAGAGCAAAGGATTTGCACTGAGAAAGAGAAGACAAACACATAATTGGCATGCATCAGCTCTGTAGAAAAGGGCTGGGTGAGAGAAGTGACAACAAGCCAACGTCCAGAAGAAAGCTACAACCATTCTAAGAGGTATTAGTGCAGTGTCATGGGTAAAACATTGCAAATTTGTCTGCTTTACTTGGCATGAGGGCTTCAGAGGAGTAACGTGGCCGGTTTAGAGCTTGAAGAAAGCATGGACAGATTAGAGAAAGTCTACCAGAGGGTAACAGGTTATTTTAAAATCACAGCCTTTGAGGAAGGGGAGAAAAATCCCTGAGACAGGTTAGGCTACAAAACAGAGGTGGATAAGAGCGAACTAATAACAGTATTCAAGCCCTTGAAAGGCTGAGATAACTGCCCTGAGGGCATGCCAGACCATCATCAGATTAATTTGCAGCAAGGTAATTTTGCAAAGTTTTCTTAATACCTAACCTCACTCCAAGGACAGCTGAGTGCTGGAAGAGATGAACTGAGGAAGAGGTAGGATTGCTGTCACTGGAGACTTTTAAGAACAGGTTAAGTAAATATTGTCAGAAATAGCACAGGTCAGGGGCCTGTTTCACTGCTGGTGTGCCAGCATTCCTATTTCCCTTTCTCAAACAGAGGTGGAGTCTGCTCCTATTAACCAAGTGGGAGGCAGGAAAGACATCTCTCAGCTAAAGAGTGGCATTTTACTCAGTGGTATTTTACAAAGGCTCCTCAGCCCCTGATGGGTTTAGGGCTTTGGGGCTTGCATCCTCACCTCACAGATACTACTCTTAGCGTGACAGGAGTTGCGTGCACACAGACCAGTGACATACCTGCCAAAATGCCACCTTCAGTGCTCGTGGTCTACCAGGGATTGCTGTCAATGACTTTGCAGGGTTTTTTTTCACCTGCTGATTTATAAGAACTGGGTGGCTACAGGGAATGACTAACCAAATGCATGTGAGCCAGAAAGATCTCATTCAATACCTGTGATAGGTCTCAGTCTCCGCAGCACTGACGATGGCCGCTTCATGTCAACAAGGAACTTGTACAGATCATCATCACTCAGGCGATCACCCTCCTGTGGGATGTTAGCAAGAAAAGTTATCTACACAACACTTCAGGATTGTGAGAGAATGAACAGACCATC